GCGCGGCCGCGCGCGCTCTGCTTCTAACGGCAGAGAGAGAGAGAGAGATCGCTTTTTTATTTCTCTTTTCTTTACCTACTTTTAAAAGTGGCAAAAAAACACAAGTAGTGCTGCTGACTGACTCATTCTGGCTCTGATCGAGTCAGACGCCAATAGCACGGGTATTGCACACAATGTTAAACAGACCCGGGACCCGAAGTAATAAATTCGGACCCGACCCGGACCCGGCTGATCATTTAAATTGTAGACCCGAACCCGTACGGGTCCCGGGTCGACGGGTCTCGGGTGCACTGTGAAGACCTCTAATGTGTTACACTGTTTAGAGCCCGGTGGGCCATTTCAAGGTAACATTAACAGCTTATTTTGGATATAAAAATGTACTGTTACAACTTAGTTGTTTTAAAAGGAAAAAAAAATACCCTCAAGATTCTCTGGCTGGTCAATCGGTCGAAGCATCATTCCTGTGTGCCAAATTTGCTCAGGAGTTTTATTCCCTTCTGTTCTCAGTGGGTGGTTGTTCCAACCTTCCACAAAAGCCTCAGGTCTGCCTTCAGTTTAGGAAGGAATGTCAGGTGGACTGTCAAAAGATCTTCTACAAAGGGACTGTCACAGAACAGAAGGGCACAGACTGGTGAGTATGAACAGAGTTTATTGAATTAAGGCACAGAATGTTAAGTAGCGTGGTAGTTGAAGTTGGAGATGGATATAAACAGTCTGATGATGGTTTTCTTATCTGAATAGGAGCGGGAGGTCGGAGAGCTGGCGGAGCAGCGGAGAGAGGATCGGAGCTGGAGACTGGAGTGGACTGGCAGCAGACGGGGACCAAGGACGGGAACAGACGGGAGGCTGACGGGCTGGAGAATCAATGCTGGTAAGTAATAGCAGGAACGTGAGATAGCGATAGGGAGTCTGTAGTCGTGGTAAAGACGAGACCAGACAGTGAGTGACTGAATGAGGTGAGTATATATGGAGTGGATGATAGTCCGGATAAGTGATGGCAGGTGGTGACGGCAGGTGGTGATGATTAGTAGTCAGGGGAACCGGAACGAGTAGGCGGAGTGAAGGTATCTGGTGCTGACGCTGATGGATCCGTGACAGGGACAGGGTCGGAGTATGTCACTTTCACATATGAGCTTTGAAAACATAACATTAATCATTGAATTGCCTTTTGTAAATACATCTCATTGATTTTTTTTTTCCCCAGCATTAAACCATTTCTAAAATTCCACAATGATAGGATTAAAAAAAAAAAAAAAAAAAAAACAACAGAAGATGGACAACAACAAACCTTACAAACATGCACAAATCAAATAATAATAGAACAGACACAGGAAACATTTAACTGACCAAGATGTACAACAATCTACAGAAAGTAGATGATAAATAGCACAAAATGATGAGACAAACCCTTACCTCTGGAGGACACATCAAGAAGGTGATCCTTCTCTAGGCTGTGGAGTGTGTTGTAATATTTTGATATCACACATGTTCTGACATCCCGCCACAAACGTTCAATCCTACGGATTTAGAAATGATTATTTTAACAATCAAGGGAATGATAAAATGTTATTATTTTACACACAATATACCTCTTTATTAGTTTGGTAAAAGTATCCAAAATACAAAAGAGTGAAAACCTTTGATTATGGACACTTTTTCCTGACATGAAGCTTCCCCGATCAGTTCCACGGACAATGAACATATATTGGGCTATTTCAACATTCTCCACTCCCTGATCACCTCTCACCCTGAAGTGCACACACAGATGACCAGTGTGTTAAAATCTGTCAGAGATGTACAATACACAGAAATAAAGTGCTACATTGTGTCATTTAAAATCATAATCCTTGAGAACCCTGAGTTTACAGTAAAATCTTTCTTAAAATATAACATCTATCATGTTTGTTACTGTACCTTGAAGCCTGTAAAAACTTACCTTGAAGCCTGTAAAAACTTACCTTGAAGGTATTCCATGCCTCTCAGTATCTTTTTTGAAGGCAGTGAATGCGGTTGATGCACGATTGTTTGTTGCAGCATTTAAGCACATCACCTATTATGAGAAATTTTCATAAATGTACATTTTCTATTTGTCCATATCTTAAATGTACAGTTGGATTACACTCTGGTCCCTTCATGCCTCAGGGAATCTGATAATTTAACATTTTAAATAGATAAATAATAAATAATTTAATTTAACTCTTACTACCATGCGGCATCCTATATTATAACTTTTTCTCCCACGTCAACAAGGTAGTATTTCAGCCATCTGAATGCAAACATGTAATTATTTGGTGTACATCATAGCAAATTTGAAGAAGGCCAACACATCAGAAGGCCAACACATGAAAAGACCCAATGAAATGAAATCTTACCTTCCTGGAGTAGCCATCCACTGCACCAAAAAGTACAATGTTGTACCTGATGGGAACAAAATAAAGAACCACATTACCAGTTTCAACCTGGATTTTTATTGTAGAAATGTCATGGCAACATAATTATGCTTTGAGATCTATCAGTGTCTGCATCATTATATTTCACAAAATAAATAAATAATGAATAAACTGTACTGTACAGTACTGACCTGATAAGTTTGTGGTTAGTGTCGACATGCCACAGTGAAAGGGGCCCCCTGACAGAGTAAGTTCTTCGCACAATGCAGCCCAGTCCAGTCAGTCTAGAAAGAATCCCAAGCGAGTCCACTCGATGCATTGATGCAGTAACTCTCCTCCACTGGACGTGGATTCCCATGGACTTTAGCCTCCCTTTGACCATCCGATAGCCTGCTGTGGGCATTTCATTTTTGATGCGTTGGACTGCATTATCAAGCTCCTGGTCAGTAGCATTGCTGTAGTTCTGTCTGGCAGAGAGACTCCCTCATCCGTCTGTTAACTGTACTGGCTGAAACCCACAGTAACTTTGCAATGCAGTTCACAGACAGATTTATCTCCAAAAGCTCAACAAGTCTCTCCTTCTCTAAATTGTACCAGGGACGCCCCATCTCTCCAGCTACAGTTTCAACAGTACTGCTGGTAACTTCAGCAATATTCAATGTGGTCCATGACCAGATGGAGGAAATCTCTTAACGCCTGTACAATATCTGGGGGGACATTAGCATGCCTTGACAGTGCTTCCCAGAGGTACAGCTCCTGCCAACATGCAAACTGTAAGAAGTCCAAGTCAAGAGGTGTTCTTGAAAGTGCTGACTCTAATTTAATGATCAGCCTGGAAGTAATCTCACGTCTGACTATGTCCTGTTGAAGTGAAAAACAACATGAAATTAACTCTTAAGAATATATTGAATACATATTCATTAATTCATCCATTTTAAATAGCAAGGGGGGGGGGGGGGTAAAGTTGTGACGTGTAGTTAAATTGGATTATACTAACATAAACGGCCACTAGTTCAACTAAAACACTTGCCATGAGAGGTTTGACTAAATGTTATAGTTAACGTTACGTTAGTTTGATGAGAGACAGCTAAGGTTAGCCCCTGCTGAGTTTGCTTAAAACTAGCTAGTTAAGGTTGATTAGCTTATGTCAGCCTATATATGTTCCAAACAAATTTCAGATTAAATTGCTACATTGTCAAACACATAGCTCCCATCATATATCATTATCACTTACGCCTACAGCTTCAGGTGTCGCCGCCATTCCGTCCACTTTGCAGTGTGTTACTGAACTCCGTCTTCCGTAAGATACATTTACTCCGTGCTTCCTGTAATTAATGAGAGCTGTCAATCAAGGTAGAAGGATGTCTCTGTGGTTGTGATGACAATGAAAGGTGACCAATCATAAGAGGGCCAGTGCCCTCCCATAGGTCCCGCCCCCAAATTGTCAAAAGTCATGTAGACGCGAGGGAGCAGAAATCAGCTGAGCGAGCAGAAATCCACTGCGCGAGCAAAACAGCACTCCGCGAGCAAAAGCCCGCTGCGCGCGAGCAGGATTCCATTGTACAAGCAGAGTTAACCTATGAGAGAATGCCAGGCGCTCGCTCGCAGCTACCGGTACACCTCTCGGTTGTTGAATTTGTGCGCGATTACTTTTCTCGTGCCAGCTGAAGGTTCATTTTCGCGCCCGTGAAATAACATAATGTGCTCGTGAGCATGTCTTACGCGCTCGTAACTTTTGACTAAAAAATAACGCCATAGAAGTGGAACATCCAGACAACACGAAGAACTGATGAAATCCAGATGAGACACAGACGAGGCACGAGTACAGGACCACAACAATCTGACAACAAGAGGGAGAAAATGCTGGGTATATATAAGAACTGAAATGAATGGCAGCTGGTGACACTAATCAACACAACGAGTAACCACACCCACACAATTACACTCACACAGACACATCAGCATGAGACAGCCGATTCATGAACCGTGACAGTAGGTGACGGTATGTCACTAGTTACGTTTACATGGACACAATCGGAATGAAATCAATACGATTGATGAATCCAATCATAGTGTTTACATGAATGATAAATAAAGTGATCGGGTTGATGTGCGCGTTTATATGTCACAAGATTCAAATTGTAATTGATTTTTTGACATGCGCACACTGCACGAATATGCCACTGTTTGTGCATAACTATTCTCCCCTATTGGTTCTGTATTTGTTTTAAACAACAGACTTAATATTTATCCATCTCTGGTCGTGATTTGGAGACGATCAGCATGAACCGTTTTGCTGTGCTTATTGTATTTATCATGCAGTAAAACCCCGCGCCCAAAAGTCGTGTGTGGAATCTAAAACAAGCACCAGTGGGATGTTGTCCTGCTTCACTTCACAGACACTGAGTGAAATGAGAACTTTTTAATAACGGAAAACTCATTTATAGGACACTTTATTCAAAAGGAAGAACAGCTCGTTACGTGCGTCTCGTCATTACGCTATTTCAACGTCAAGTGTTACTCGTCACCACGTGTCACTGTTAAACTGTATACCTCCACGGGCAAAATTATGGTGGGGCGACGTGTGTCTGAGCTGCTTAGAGAGGCAGCTGATAGACTGGAAGAAATGGATCAGTGTGAGTAAAATATTTGAAAGTCATTGTGTATCCATTGTATCCTATAGTTATAGTACATCTAATCCACGATCCATCTCTGTACAGCACCACGAATATGGATCGTGGATTATGCCATATACACTGAAAAAATGGCAATGGGCAGATTGTTGAATTTGCCTAAATGCATTTCGTATTTCCTACATGATTATTTCATGTTTCTCATCCAAACATATTTTAGTCTTGTGCCATTAATTTAATGTTGAAGGATGTTCAACCTTTGAAAAAAAATCATGTTGAACTGAAAGAAATCAGTTTGAAAGAAAGAAATATGTTTTCTCTGGAAACTCCGCCCCCATGAGAACCGTTAACTGCTCGTGCGCGCCACTCCGCCATTTTCTCTCACGCTTTGGAAGGTGGAAGCAGAGCCCGTGGAAGCTGACTGCAAGTTGTCGTGGTGGAAAGCTACAGTCGAAGGTAATTAACATTTTTTAAATGAAATTCTATTGAGAAACAGTTAGTAGTCCGTTTGAGCGTATTTATTTTCACCGAGGGAACTTTTTTTATTTACATTACTGATTTTAGGGAAAGGCAAAAGTTAGGCCTAGTGCAAATGTTTAAGGTAACGTTAAGTTAGTTAAGTTAACGTAACGTTATGTATCCCGTTTAAAATCCGACTTGCATTACAGTCATTTAATGGTGTACAGTCACAAAATGGTGTACAGTCATTTAGGCATATTTTTTCTGTGTATGAGAACTATTTCGCGTCAGATAATGAGTGGCGTCAATGCATTTTGGGTGGAGGAGGGGATATATTAGGCCTGAACGTGAATGTGAATGTTAAAATGCTTTCTGGGTCTGGCCGAACTGTAAAGTTATACCTTTTTACATTTTATCACAAAAAACACAAAAGTTACTTGTTATTCCGCGCTTATTGCAAATTCTATTTTATAGAAGCTAACGAAGTTTAATTCTGCAACGAATGGAAAAATCCTGTCAGGTAATGAGTTTTGCCGACAGGGGTGGAGGGATAAAGAACGTAGCTGCTAATGTCTAAATGTTAATCGACTTTATTTTCTCATTGGGAAATCTGGAAGTCTCATAAAATGCTTGCCACGTTCAAATTGTGCTGAAATAATACAAATCCGCTCCAAATCCGCACTGGAGCAGAAGCATCGATAAGAGTTAACGTCGAGGGCATATAATATCGATGTTTCATAACTCCTGGTTCTCTTGTGGAACCAGTTTTCAATTCCAATCCCTAACTGCGACAATTTCACTCGGATATGCGACTAAAATAGATGTGTGCGAACTGTAAAATGTATTTTGGAGCACAAACAAAAAGTCGCTGCGGATCAGTCTTTAATACCTTAAATTGTAAAACAAGGGGTTTAAAAAATATTAGTCATACTGCCTAATGTGATTATTAAACGTCAAAGGCTATGACTTATGGAAGTTCATATGAGTAGCAAGCAAATAATTTTCAATTTGAAATGTAATACGCAAAATGACAATGCAATATGTAAAATGGCAATGCATTTCTGTATTTAATTTCCTATGCATTTGTCCAACGTTTGGTGCTAGATTTAAATGATATAATTTACATTTTCCATTTCATACACTAGATTTAAGTTTTAAAACTACAATCTGTTAAAAACATTACCGTTTACTAATGAAACCTCATTCTAAGCCTTATTAGTAACACTGCTACAATAAGAATTTATCAGTTTATTATTGTTATTATTATTATTTTTATTAAAAAGGAAATGTGCTCAATTCCCTGAAACCCTAACTAGCCCACCTCTGGGAATATGTTATTGCTTTAAAACTAATTATTTTTATTTATTTATTCAAATATTTTACAGATATCAGATTCATGTACCAGTGCACATGCAATGTGACTAGTGAGTTGTCTCTAGTAGTGGTGAGTATTTTTGTAAAACTACTGCAAGTATATTTGATATCTTTCTCTATGTTGTGTTTGTCCATGTCATTTCAATATTCCTCTCTATGGAAATGTTAAAAAAAAAAAATTTCTGTCTCCCTCCAGTGAATGTGGCAGTGTAAAGGGTTCCTGGTAGCAGTTCCAAGTAGATTGGCATTACTAAGTCATTATAAACTGAGACATCCACACTTTGGGCGTACAAGCCGTTATCCATGTAAGTACTCAGAATGCCCATGCACATTTAAGACATGGAATGCTTTAGAAGACGGCTCAATTGCGTGAGACTCGCGCTCAATGCGTGTGAGAGTTGGCAACCCTGCAAAAGGCATCAAGAGCTGTATACGAAATGGGGAAAACGTATAAAAACCCGCTTCTTTTTTCTCGTCACTTTAGCCTTCAAGGCTAAAGTGACGAGAAAAAAAGAAGCGGGTTATTATACGTTTTTTCGTCCACTGGTATCGTCCCATGCTTTTTTATTATTGCTAGGAAAGCAATCTTACATTGCCTCTCTTGTTGCCTTTTGACTGAAAATGATAAAGAAAAGTCACACAATGTGATATCATATCAATATTTTATTTTCTGAGTTGTGTATTCTGAGTTTGTTGCAGACTAAGTGTCAGTAGCTCACTGAGTTCAACCATTTGACATCATCTGTAGAAACCCTAATTTATGTAGATCAGCGGGGTTAAAAATGTATTTTTAAAAAAACTGCTCTTCTTTTCACCCGTGGCCAGGATGATGATGTCGATATTAGCCAAGAGTGTAATCATCAAGGGGCTCTGCGTATACCTCAATTAGGACCCAGACAATTTAGTAAAAGAGTATGTGGAGTTCAAAGGAGTTCAATTTATCTTTCATAATTAAAAGCTCATTAACCAACCAACCTGCTAGTTCGATAATAGATCAGGCCCTTTAACAGGATTGTTTTCTTTCTTTTTTTTTGCGGCCTAAAATGACTGAATTTTCAGTGGCTCAAAATTTGCGGCATTGTTCCTTTTGTTGTTGAAGGGTTTTGAAATGGACATATATTCTGAGGTGATCATTCCACAGTCACATAGCATGTTTTATTAAGTTAGATGCAACAAATACTTATAAAGTTATAGTTTAGAAGTAGTGCAGCTGTGTATAAAGCCAATTGGATGTCTTGGGGTTAAAATTGTAGGACCATCCACAATCCTAGAACTAGTCTAACAGTAATCTGTAATCAGTCATCTATCTTTCTTGGTCTTATCTGGTTTACATTGTATGCAAGCTCTTTCATGATATCTACATTATTAAATGATTGAAATTACATTTGTTATAATATTCCCAAAGCAGTGTCCGGTGTTCTGTAGAATCTCATTTTGTCTGCATTCTGCAGGTTGGTGACGAAGCCTCTATTCAAAAATCCACAGAGGAGACCACAGTGGGACTCTACATTCTAAAATTTTATGACTGATCTGACGACATTGGGATTGTCCTTGAAGGCCAGAACATCTTGCAAGGCTTGGATAACTTTGCATTAACTACGGGAATGCTTTTTGGTCTAATGAGGTACTGCAGAAGATAATCATGGACCTGGAAGGATGCACTCCATCCAAGAAAGCTCAAGTTCTCAGAAACAGACTCTATGAGTGAGCTGTTTCCATGGTACGGCAGGTGGACACAATGCAGTTTCCTACCTCTTGGAATAAGGAACATTTATTTTTTATTTCACACACTCACAAAGAACTTCCTTTATTCAAAAGTGTACTCTGTTTGATATGAGTAGGTTGACCACTTGGGTGGGTGCTTTGAGTATGGGTGCTTTGAGTAAAACTGATATGCTGTCATAGCTTAAATTCCATGAACAAATGTCAATGATCAATGACAGCATATCAGTTTTACTCAAAGCACCCATACTCAAAGCACTATACTCTGAAAAAGGTGGACAGTAATGATGAGTATTAGTAGTCCAAAGCTTCCCCTGACGTTTTTGTTTATTTTTCATGAATTTTAATATCTGGGTGGATTGTCCTATTAACCAATAGCTTTAACCAAAAAACTATGCACATGTTAAAACAAGCACAAACACAACACAAAAAAGCTGTGTTAAAAATAGCTTAAATTCCATGAACAAATGCCAATGAGCAATTTTTAACACAGCTTTTTTGTGTTGTGTTGTTTTTGTGGTTGTTTTGACATGTGCATAGTTTTTTGGTTAAAGGGACACTGTGTAGAGTTTTAGGTATTTTATTATCAGAAATCAATATTTTTATTCATAAATATGTCCTCAATGGTGTACAAATACCTCTGCAAAAAATCTGACTTATCCTCGTAAATGAAGAATTTATTATCTTTATGTACATGGGACGGGTAGGTTCACGGAGGCTTCCATGTCCGTTCCGCCATCTTGAAAAACTATAATAGCAAAGAGGGCCAAAAAGTACCACCAGCCAAACGCGTTTCCACAACGCATTTTCGTTCAGACTCAGAGCCAGCGTCACGTCACATTGAGAGCATTCCCTGAATTGCTCTCCTATGATTGCTGATTGCTCTATTATTTGTAATGGCGGACCATACATATGCCGAGTCACAGGAGAATGCATCTTCCACGCAAAAAAAGGCAAGACTGGAACGAAAAAGGAAACGTGACCGGAGATTGCAAAAAACGAGAGTAAATATTGGGATCGCGTTTTCAAGGTGGAAAGAGCTAATGCAGCATAAAGATTTCAGAAGAGACGCTGAAGTTGCCTGCTTTCTCCTCGACAGGTTAGTCAATGTTACAGTCTTACTTAATTTTTTTGTCATTGCTTGGTTGTGTACTTTATTATATAGACAGTATAACATTTATAGGTAAAAAAGTTAAACAAGGTATTTGATGAATAGCAGCTATTGACTACTTTACTCGCTGCTATTGTGAAGGTGCTAAAAACAAGGTTTGTAAGTTTTATTTGTGAACATTGGAGAGGGTCAACAACTGCTGGAGTCAAGTCCCTTTTATGTAAGAATAAATGGTCAATAAACCATGATCTGATTTTCCCATCTGATTTGTGCAGTTATGAGAGTACCCTTTTGAGTTGTAATACATCAACCCCCATCAAGGCAAAATGTGTTCAAGTGGCAAATGCTCCAGCGTTGTCAAGCATTTCCAGTGGGAGATAGGTAAGTCATTTAATTGAAATAATTTTTTTATTGTTAAAATACAAGTTTCATATCAAACTTGTATCTACCTATGCATCATATTGTCTTATGATTTTTGCTTTTAGAGCTGAACAACACAGTGCACCGGAAGTTGAAACCCTTGAACAGAGGTAACCCATAAACAGTCAATTTTGTGTCCCATATCAATACTATCTGGTTGCATGTTTTCAGCTAATACATGCTTTAAATTATCATTTATTTTCATAGTATGCATGACATGAGTATTGTTGAAGAGGAGTTGAATGAAAATGCCTTCAATGACCCCATGAATAGTGTGTAAGTGGGATTCTATTCTATTGTATAATTTGATTTTTTTTCAGTTTTTTTTTATTCATTTCAGTTTGTTGTATCTTACAGGATTGATTTGGAAGAAGAGGGACCCTCATTTCATGGTTACCTGGACGACAGCTCTGATGAGGAATACCTTCCAACAATTTCATTGAGGTGAGTCATTATCTATTACTTCTTTTTACTTTGTTTATGTGCTGAATTTTTACATGTAAAAAAATGTTTAGGGCTATTTTGGAATGTTTTTGAATTCTTTTAGTTCACACTGATGTCTCAGGTAATAAATTTGATCATGTTTATATGCCGGAAAAACTTGGAAATAATTCAATTGAACTGTGTATGATCCCTGAAGTTCTTCTCTTCTAGAATTGGTGGTGCAATGAAGGGAGCACAGGTAATTGACAATCTGCCAACTATTGGGATTGATGAGACTGTGCATGATCTGCCTGCCCCTGAAGTCCCTCTCGATGAGCCCTTGAGTCTCGAGCTGCCGATTTTGCCAGGCCCTCAGAAGGTCCTCAGTGAGGATGACATTATTGTCGTTAGATCAGCTGTGCTCTATGAGAACTGCTTGAGGCAGCTTGTCACATTTTTAACTCTTCCCGTGAACAGATGCACTGGTGTCTTGAGGACTGGTTTAGTGTGTGACAGTGTTGCCCCATTTTCAACAAACATCGGCATCAGGGGCACTGCAATGAGTGTTGAATGGGTAAGCCTTTCACATCACATCAAAATGTATCGTAACAAATGGCACTGTTTATGCCTTATGAATTTTACAATGCTACCCTTATCTTACCAGATCTGCCCCAATGGACATTGCCTATGGCGGTGGAATTCACAGCCTGTGTTGAAGTTTGGCATGCAGGCTGGGGACTTTCTTCTTTCCACTAACATTTTACTTTCTGGAAACAACTACACTAAAGTTGCTCTCCTATTTAAATTCATGAACATACAAATGGTAAACACCAACACACACTACACCATCCAGGACACCTACTGTGTTGACACTATTAAAGCTTTTTGGGAAGAGAAGAGGTCTGAATCCATCAGCCGAGCAAAAGGGAAAGATGTTGTGCTCCTAGGTGGGTAATTATATATTTGAACTTGTTCTCCATTAATTGTTATGGTATTAAACAATTAAACTAATTTTGCAATCACTTTATCATACAGGTTTTGTATTTTGAAATTACCTGTATTTCCTTTTTCTTTAGGTGATGGCAGAAATGACTCACCAGGGCATTCTGCCCAATACTGTAGCTACACAACCATGGAGCTTGACTCTAAGGAAATCATCCATGTGGCCACTATAGACAAGCGGCAGACCAACTGGAACTCCAACATCATGGAGAAGGAGGGTTTTATCCAGACAGTGGACAAGCTTACGCAAGAGATCAAGGTAGTGGAGTTCTGCACGGATGCTCATGTTTGGAGCCCTTTTGAGTAAGTGGTCAAATAATAAAACATTTGAATAGAAATATTGAATTGCTGATTGAGAAATGATTCTATACTTCAAAGACCCAGATAAAGGAAAATATAAGGATCTGAAAATTCACCACAGCCTGGACATGTGGCATGGTGCCAAAAATTTGTGCAAAAAAATAGCAACCGTAAGTTCTAATACATCTAATTTCATTTATAAAGATTTGTACCTTCCTGCATGTCTGTGTAATAATTTTGTTATGTTAGGTCTCCATCAAAATATTTACAAGGACTAACTTCCATTGTCTCTGTTTTGTTAATTACCATAAGGCGGGAAAGGTGAAAGGACAGTCTATTCTCCTTCACTGGCTGAGGGATATAGTTAACCATTTCTGGTGGTGCTGCAAGACGGCAGAAACATTTGAGCAGTTTCTTGTAAGTGTCACAGTCCTTCGTCTGCACCATCCTGTCTGCGTCTCCAGCACTACACTTCCCATGATCCTCTCGTCTGCACACCTGAACTCACTCCCTCATCAGCCTCCCGTTCAGCGTCCTGTTCATCTGTTTCACCTGTCTTCACCTCATTATGTCTGATTCCTGCTTGTATTTAGTTCCCTCTGTTTCATTCTGTCCTTGTCGGTCAATGTTGAATGTTACCCTGCGTGGTCCTGTAACCTGTCTTCCGTCCTGAATTTAGAATAAATATTGTTATTGGAATCCTGACTCCTCGTCCTCTTCGGCCTGCACCCACGCCCGTGACAGATTGACCGACCCAAAAGAAAAAAAAAAATGGAATTTGCAGCAGTAGCACTGCTCTGCTTGGAGCAAGGAGATCGTTCCTTGGAGGACCATCTGGAGGATTTCCTCAACCTCGTCCCCTCTACCATCTTCCCGGACGACAGCCTCTGCAGCTTTTTATATGCTGGCCTCAACACCGCCACCAGAGAGCAGTTGTCCGGGGAGGGTCCCCTGTTGAGCTTCGCGGCTTATGTGGAGTGGGTGCTGGTATGCTGTGGCTCATCTTTCACCGTCGATGACGTCACCAGCCCCACTCCAACACCTGAGCCCTCCTCTCCGCTGGTTCCCACCAGCCCCGCCGAGCCCGAGCTCCCTTCTCTGCTGGTCCCGCCCAGCCTCACAGAGCCCGAGCTCTCTCCTCCGCTGGTCCCGCCCAGCCTCGCCGAGCCCGGGCTCTCTCCTCCGCTGGTCCCATACAGCCTCGCCGAGCCCGAGCTCTCTTCTTCGCTGGTCCCGTCCAGCCCCGCCCAGCCCGCGCCAGAGACCGTCCAGCCCGCGCCAGAGACCGTCCAGCCAGCGCCAGAGACCGTCCAGCCAGCGCCAGAGATCGTCCAGCCTGCCCCAGAGACCAGGATCCCACCCAGCCTCCCTCTCCCACCTCCTCCCGTCATGCATCCGTCAGCCCCTCCATCTGCCAGCTCCCCTGACCCAGCTGGGTCGTTGGATCCCCGGCCTTCGCCTCACACCTCCTCCATCTGGACACTTCCTCGGCCCCCAGTCCCATTGGCTCCCCCGTGGCTCCTACCTCCCTCAGCTCCTCCTTGGCCCCTCAGTCCACCACCTCGGCCAGGCTCCTTCGACCCTCCGGATTCCCTGCGCTCCCTCGTCATCCTCCCTTCACTTTTGGACTTCCTTCCCTTGGCTCCACCCTGTCATGTCACCCCCCCGGTTCTGTCGGACTCCTCATCCCCTCCAGTCACCCATCGGCCCCTCACTCCCTCTGCCCTCACCATGTCCCTCTGTGCCCATGTCGTCACTTCAGTCACCAGAGCCTGCGGTGTCCCCATGGTCCCTCGGTCCCTCCTCAGCACCCAATGTCGTCTGTCCCTCAGCTTCACCCTGGTCTCCTCTCCCATCTGCTCCGCACCTGTCAGTCGGCCCCCTGGTGTTGTCAGCCCCGTCTCCTTCGGCTCCACCAGGGGTCCTCCCTCCATCTGCTCCGCCCTGGTCTCGCCCTCAGCCTGCTCCGCCCTGGGGACGCCCTCAGCCTGCTCCGCCCTGGTCTCGCCCTCAGCCTGCTCCGCCCTGGTCTCGCCCTCAGCCTGCTCCGCCCTGGGGACGCCCTCAGCCTGCTCCGCCCTGGGGACGCCCTCAGCCTGCTCCACCCTGGGGACGCCCTCAGCCTGCTCCGCCCTGGCCACGCCCTCAGCCTGCTCCGCCCTGGCCACGCCCCGCTCAGCCCCCAGTTCGTCCCCCCTCCTTCCTCTGTTATGCGGCGTGAGGTCACGCCTCCCAGGAGGGGGGAGTTCTGTCACAGTCCTTCGTCTGCACCATCCTGTCTGCGTCTCCAGCACTACACTTCCCATGATCCTCTCGTCTGCACACCTGAACTCACTCCCTCATCAGCCTCCCGTTCAGCGTCCTGTTCATCTGTTTCACCTGTCTTCACCTCATTATGTCTGATTCCTGCTTGTATTTAGTTCCCTCTGTTTCATTCTGTCCTTGTCGGTCAATGTTGAATGTTACCCTGCGTGGTCCTGTAACCTGTCTTCCGTCCTGAATTTGGAATAAATATTGTTATTGGAATCCTGACTCCTCGTCCTCTTCGGCCTGCACCCACGCCCGTGACAGTAAGCAGGAAGAATGTTATAATAGAAATAAATGATAATAATGCAATGAGTCAAAAAACTTTGACATGATAATGTTTTTGTTTAATTGTTTTACTTTCCTCAGGCACTTTGGATTGGAGTTCTGCATCATGTTTGCAACAATCACACCTGGGAAACAGGAAGCTGCCAACACGACCACCTTGAAGACACTCAGGATAAAGAGTGGATTGAGAGAGATTCAAAGAGCCATAAAGCGCTTGTGGAGATCGTCCTCAACAAGCGTTGGCAGAAGGATGTCCACAAGTATCTGCGCTTCAGGTAAAGCGTGGAGACATGACATTTTAAAAGAAATCTAAATGATGCGCAAGTCATTTGTGGGTGTGTTTTTTTAGTCTAAATCTATTTTTTAATTTGTCCAGATCGACAGCACATCTCGAGTCTTTTCAGAATCACATTCTGATGTATGCCAGCAAGCGCCAGGCCTTCACTCCCCGAGTGTATGACACGAGAGTTGTGCTTGCAGCCCTGGACTACAATTTCCACCGGGAACGACCGGCATACAGGACGGCTGAGGGCCAACAAGTGTATGTCAAACTCTCAACAATTTGTTATATACAAATAATTGCAATTTCACATTTTAAATTATGTATTCAGAAATATGACAGTTTATTACTCATAATGATTAAATGACTTGTAGCAATTGTCTTTTGTTAATTTAAGTTATAGGAAGAAGTACAATAAAAATGCCAGAAGATATAGCCTTTACACCATGAAGTGTACAAAATCATATGGTTACATCCCTGAGATACAAGCACGCATCTTGAAGGCGAGAGTCACAAGTGGAATTGGGATGCCGCGAAAGAGGTCCCTAAGAGCAGATGACCCAAGGCGTCTTGGTGTTGTGCCACCGATACCGCCAGGGGCGGAGCTACATGGTGGCCAGGGGGGGCCACGGCCACCATTGGTCAAGGCTCGGCCCCCCTGCCGGCCCCCCCTCCCAACCTCAAGGGAAAATAAATTTAATAATAATAAAAAATAAATAAAAAACTCCAGTAACGGTCTAAAAAGGAAGCTGAAATGTATGCATTTTTTAATGAAGTCATTGATTTGTCACTTGTTGGGTCTCGCCCCCATCAACAGTGCGAGACATAACGTGCCTGCATTCTGACAGCGCTTGCTGTTTACACCTGGCCACTTCATGTGTTTTCTCAGATCAGATAGCTATCTGATTTATCAAAACGATTCCATTTACACCTGGTCACATAAATGTGTTTTTGCGAAATGGATAGCCTATAAATCCGATCTTCAATTGCCGAAGTGCACGTCACCGAAAGCAACAGATATGAGTTGGATTTTATTGATCATCGGCTAATTTCAAAATCAGCAAAGACGGTGATAAGAGAGAGCGGCAACAGAACTGGTAAGATCATTTCGTTTCTTTACTTTTTAATCTTGTTTATCGTCTGCGACTTACTTTCACTTTGATTTGCGATAGATTGCGGCGCGTTGGCTTGTGTTCAGCCGCTCATCTGAGGTGATGATGCGCGTCGCAGTAGCGTCGTCATATCTGACTAAAATAGCATAACATGTAGCCTGTAACACACTCTCACGCGTTTCTTTTTTTTTTTTTTTAGCATTTTTGGGAGTATTAACATTTACATATGTGGTTTCAGATACAAGATGCATTTAAACTTGTCCAGTTTCGTCTGGAATGCGGCCCAGACCACCTTCTGAAGTGGTTTGAGTGATCGGATTCAAATCCGTCTCGAATGCGTTTCGGGGGGCATTTACACCAGGTCTTTTCATGATCGGATAGCTATCCGATCACAGAAAACGCATGAAGTGGCCAGGTGTAAACGGCCCCTAAAATGAAGCATGGGGTTCTTTAATCAACTCCGAAGGACATTTTATGCTAAAAAAGGTTCAAAACTGACAAGAAAGAACCCTTTTGGCTCAAAGTTTTTTTAAAGGCTATTATTCATTCATATATTACATTATTCTGCAACATTTGTAGTTGTTATTAAATTATTGTTTATTAAACTGTTGTAGTAACCTAATATCACATTTTAATCATGCAGATTTTTAGAGGATAAAAAGTGAAATGGCAGTCTTCGTCTGATATTGATTAATTACATTTTTTAACCACCATATATTGAATTTTGTGATCATTCACATGCATTGCATTTTAAGGGTTCCAAATACGTAACGCTTTAGAACCTTTTAAGGTTCTATATTGAACCTTTTCTTCTAAGAGTGTAATTGTTACAGCAGACACAAAGCGAACAGAACATTTCAGGGTAACACTTTAGAATACGGTTCCTTCGTTAATGAATAACTACACAAGAACAAATGAGTAACACAATATTAACAATCTAGTAACTATTATTAACTAACAAGAAACTCTGATTAACAAACTAGTAAGTAATAGCGCACAGATGAAAGTGGTAGTTCACTATTAAGTAATCAATAACTTTTATTTTTTTAATACTTCCCAGAGAATTACTGAAAAAGTTTATTAACAATCTAGTAACTATTAACTAAAATAAACTCTTATTAACGAATTAGTAAGTAATAGCTCACAGATGAAAGTGTTACTAGATACTTCTGCGGGAATTACTAATTATTTGGATCCGTATTATAAAGTGAAGATCATTGGAACTAACTAATGACTCAAGTGTTACTACATGATCTGGTTATGATTTGTGCAACCGTTGTAACTTGTTGTATTATCACAAATAAATTGGATGTTGCACTTAAAATGCAATGGTTTACCTAAATAAATTATCGCCCAATATGACAATTCATATTGTGTCTTTCTGTCATTTGCACTAAAAACATCCCTGTCTCATGTTAAGGTCCCTAACCCCTCACATAATGATGACATATTGCACTCGCACATTTATCAATTAGACATTATTAGTGTCATAAGGGAGTTCAATCCATTGTTTATGGCCTGACAAGCCGCGTGTGAGTTTTAGTAATAGTAGTTTTTGACAATCAAGTGCCACCCCAAATAAAAGACTGGCACAAGCTGGCCCCCCCAGAAAAAATGTCCTGGCTACGCCCCTGGATACCGCCACCATCAACATCAGAGCTGATGCATACACAGGTCACCAGAGGTCTGGGTGAGTGACAAACATCTACTTGGCCTTATTTTAGCCCATTAATTTTGTCACATACTGATTCTTAATTGTGTATAGATTTAATTGCACTTGTCTTTCACAGGATCTACCTTCCATGCGCCCATAAGGAAGTAATGGAATAGTGGAATAAAGTCGTTATTTATGTTTTTTTCGCACAAAAAGTAGTCTCGTCGCTTGATAAACTTATAATTGAGCCGCTGTAGGCACATGGAATATTTAAACCTTTTCTTTAATGACTTTATGGGCCGTCAAGAGCCAGTCCCTTAGGCAGTCTATCTAGGACTGATCCAGCTCTCAGATTCAATCAAAAATATCTTTATTTGTGTTCCGAAGATGAACGAAGGTCTTACGGGGTTGGAACAGCATGGGGGTGAGTAATTAATGACTTAATTTTCATTTTTGGGTGAACTAACCCTTTAATCCCCGTGGGGCAAATAGTTTGAACTCACATGGTGACTCACATGAAAACACTTAGCATATACATTCAATACATAGTGAAAATATATGCATACAAATTTTAGAGAACTACTTCAGACAATTTACTACAAAACTGCTAAAATGTTGTTTTTGTTGTTGTTTTTAAAGAAATTGTAAAGGAGTAAATAATTATATGTAATCAGATTTTTTTTCAACATAAAATAAATCACAATTTTAAAATATCCCTCATATTTCTAGGTTTTAAATGACCCCAGAGCCCATTCGTTTGAAAAGAATCATAGTTACTATACTATTGGGTCATTTATGACATAAAATATCATCGTTAAGAAGCTGTGGAAAATAATTTACCTTACCATAGTTAAGATAGTTACATCAAGGAGCCATACTCATTAATGCGGGCTATAACATTACAGATAAGATATAATTAATTCGACGACTCCTTTATACATAACCACGATTTACGAATCTGTTGCCTGGTGGTGTTAGTTTAATCAAACTTGTGTGAACGTGTTACTGATTAATGGCCGCCATGATATACATTTTACATGTGCGGTCATGTGCGGAGCTCCGTAGTAAGATAATAAAACCATTTCTTTACAATCAACTCACATCTATAAACTCTCTACAAACCTACCTTTATGATCATTTATGTATCTAGCCTCCAGTGCATCAGTCTTGTCGATGGCATTGATAACATGTTCCTCAGCATCTTTTGCTGGTCTGATTCTTCTCCGTCTCATGTCGATGTTGAACTCGGGCACGTCTCAGCGTCACCCCGGGGTTCACGAAGGCCGCAGGCCGCTCCGCTCGCTTAAATCTCCAGCCGTTAACTAATTAGGACTCACTACACCACGCGTTATATACACTTTAAATTATATACCGACATGCAATTTAAGTTTATCAATAGTATATTTCCTAGAGTCAACGACTAACATCAATTAAGTTAAGTTACACCTCATTAGAAAACTCCATTCGATCATGTAATTCAACAATCTTTCGAAATTATTTGAACTTGTGATGTATTTTTATTTAATTATCGAAAATAACAATAAAAATAAGCTAATTACCTGTAAAAATGTATTGATTTCGTTGATTGACCACCAATTACCTCGTCGTGACTCATTTGATTAAGCGCGATTGTTTTGCGCATGAGCAGTTGGTGAAATGTGTTTCTTACGTCACAGGTGTGCTTACGGATGCAGTACCGCGAACATACTGCAGGAGCGCTAAAGAGCAGCGCTGCCATACACACTTACACTTTGAGATCAGGTATATGTTCATGGTGGGGATTTAGAAAAAAACTGCACTAGGCATATCAGCAACACCTGCTGAGACTATTACAAGCAAATCATTGTGGGGACCGTGGAATTGGTCCCCACCATGTTTTTGGTCCCCACTTTGTGAGTGTGCTAACATGCTGAGGACCCCACCATGTGATAAAAACAAACACACACACAGAGACACACACCCTCACTCTCTTTATTGTTGTTATTATTATTATCATGAGCTTTCATTGTCATGTGTTTGTATAATAACTGTATATAATTAATTAATGTATATATTAATGTATATAATTTGTGGTTCATGTGGGTTGTCTACGAACCGAAAGGTTGGTGGTTCAATCCTCGGTTCCACCTGACCAAGTGTCGAAGTGTCCATGAGCAAGACACCTAACCCCAGCTGCTCCCGACGAGCTGGATGGCGCCTTGCATGGCTGACACCGCCGTCGGTGTGTGAATGAGTGTGTGAATGGGTGAATGTGAGGCAAATGTAAAGCGCTTTGGTGGCCATTAGGTCTATGAAGGCGCTATATAAATGCAGTCCATTTACCATTTGCAGTATGTTATATTTATTATCAGTCATCAGACATCACAATTATCATCATCCATCATAAGTTAGCATTGTCTATTGCATCCTATTTATTTTGTATTGTTGTTATCCGAAATCATCAATTATTATCAATAAAAAAAAAAATCAATTATCAATCATCATCTTTAGACATTTATTGTCATTATCAGCATCAAATTATTACAAACACACACACCCTCACACTCTCTCTCTCTCTCACACACACACACACACACACACACACATACACATACACAGTATGTGTATATTGTTTTATTACTATTAGCCTACCTCCAGATGATGGCAAATCTGTCCCTTGAAATGGCTTGGGATGGCCGTTCGAAAAAGCCACTTTTTCTGACGCCAGAAATCTCTACGTGATGGCAGGTCAAGGATCCCCATGGCAAGACACAGTCCAATGACAGTCTTCATTTCAACAACTGTGACCGGTACCCACTTGCTGTTTGATGGAGTTGCGCTCCGTGATTGTTCAGCATAAAGATTCGTTTCTGTTACCAATCGCATCCTCAACTCCTCCGTGAAAACATGGGAGAATACCTGTATCGGTGTAACAACATCTGGAAGCTCTATCTTGATGCCTGGTTCGCGGTTATACGGGATCTTCTCACGAGAGTGAAAGTTGTCAGTCTTCCATTCTTCTTGGAAGCCAACGAAATCGCGCATATCCTCCTCATCCTCTTGAAACATCGCTAAGAGCCACTGCTCTCTATCTACGCGATACATCTAAATCATCTGGTATATCGTCTGGTCCTGTGCCATCCTCCATAAATTCATCAATATCACTATCACAATATCACTTGAGTCAGTCATGACGGATCGCTAGCACGGTGTTTAAACTAAAGGCCAATTTATACTTCTGCGTAGGGTGCGCGCAGTAGGGACGGCGTAGCATACGCACAGACGCGTCCCATACCGCGTACCCTTCGCCGTCGCCTGACGCACCCCAGACAGCAAACTGACATTGAATCAACGTGGAAACGACTTCTCTCATGACATCGAAACAACGTTGATCTGGCATTGTTTTGCTCATCGAATTAACGTTGAACCAACGTCAGACGCGGCATTCTTCAAAGCTAAATGAAAATCGAAAATTGGTTTGCTTCGTTGAAACAACGTTGATTTCTAGTTGATTTTCCGTTAGTTTTGAAAGAATGACGCGTCTGATGTTGGTTCAACGTTAATTCGAAGGCAAAACAATGCCAGATCAACGTTGTTTCGATGTCATGTTTCCACGTTGATTCAATGTCAGTTTGCTATCAGGGACTAAACTAATAAGAGGATTTGATGAGGATGAACACTCAGCGGGTATGGAAGAAAAGGAAGTTTACTTGCTGGAGTGGCGTCAAAGAGCCGAAAGTTGGGTGGGCGGATCGAGGCCTTCATAATCAAGATGGCAGATAACTTATCTGTTATCCTCCTATACTCTTATATATCATTATTACTTGTGTGAATATATTATTACTTTATTATTCTGGATATGCTTGTAGACTTAACAAGTCAGTGAAATTTTTTTTTATGTAACGGTTAACATTATCAGGAGGGCGGTGTTGTGACATGCTACAGTCATTAGCCTTTATCTCAGCATTATTTTATCTCATGAGAATGGGAGACCACAGTTATGCCTTAATTTATTTTACAATGCTCCACATTTTCTTGCCTAAATAAAACTTTTAAAGACCTTTAGAGTTGCTCAGTAATATTTCTGCCTTCTTATTTCTACTTGTACATTGTAGGCTACTCGAATGGACGGGGTGGTTATACTACAGTAACTTGCACTGCCCGACAGTATCCCCCACTCCACCCCATGCTTGGGATGGTCCTGATTGTACTTGTACACAGAATCTCAACTGCTATGTAAATGTTTTCCTGTTTTTCTGATTCTGAATTAAATACATTAATTTTTTCCTTAAGTTACAGATGTCAAAGACTCCATCTCATGTTTCATTTGCTCTTAAAGTAAGTATTAGCAGCTTTTTCTGTAATGTCTGTGCCACATGCTAAGCATAGCTATTGAAATATTGACTTTCCTAATAGATTTTTTTAAACATAGCTATTGAAATAGAGACTTTTCTAATAGATTTTGACATTTATTAAAATAATTGGAAAGAAATTACAACAGAACAAGTTGTACATCATACCACAGCTACATGCAAACTACTATGCTGTATATTAAATCTATGTATTTTATGGTATAATTATCCTGCTAGAAGAGCCAGTTACATAGATCACTAGATAAACTTGTATTGACTATGTGCACGAGAAAAATGCTAACTTCCGCCTTGAGGGCGGATGTTGGGTACTTCGGTTCCGGTTGCCGTTGTTTACATCCTACATCAGTGGACCGGCTATCTAAAGCTTAGCTATCTAAATATATTTGTCTAAAACTATGTTCGTTTGTTCATTGTCAAGTCAACCAACACAGTTTTCACTCATATTTGGGTGGAGCCAGGCGCTGCTGCATTGTGAAAAGTAAATGATATTTCACATTTTGTCACCGCACCCAAGCAGTCGCTTCACAGAGTGGAGCGTTGCGTATCCATGACAACTTAGAAGGAAGTTTTTAGGCTACTAATTATTTATTATATTATACCCTTAACCAGGAGAAGCCCCTGGGTTTAGAACCTATTTTGAAAGGGAGACCTGTTTAGAATATGTGTGAACAGCCTAATATGAGTTAAACAGCCTAACTTGATAACGAAACGAACCAACGTCGGATACCTTTACTCCCCGTATGACATGTATAGTGGTTGTCAACACTGATCTATATGACGATAGTGGGTTGTCAACAACATAGCCTCT